GACTCAAAGCATCGGCCACTACATTGGCCTTCCCAGGATGATATAAGATCTCGCAGTCATAATCATTCACCACATCTAATCATCTGTGTTGCCTCATATTCATGTTCGGCTGATCCATCAAATATTTCAGACTCTTTTGATCTGTATAAATAGTACATCGGACCCCATACACATAATGTCGCCAAATCTTGAGGGCGAAAACCACCGCCCCCAACTCTAGGTCATGAGTAGGATAATTTGTCTCATGAGGCTTCAGCTGCCTCGAAGCATAAACAATCACGTAACCCCTATTCATAAGCACTGCACCCCATCCCATAATCGACACATCAAAATAGACCACAAAATCATCCATACCCTCGGGAAGGGTCAGTATCGAAGCCTCACACAATTCATGCCTTAGAGTCTCAAATGTCGTCTGCTGCTCTGGCCCCCACCGAAAAGCAACATTCTTCTTCTTCAATCGGGTTAAAGGAACAACAATCTTGGATAAATCATGAATAAACCTCCATTAATAACCTTCTAACCCAAGGAAACTATGAATCTCAGATGGCGACCTCGGAACCAGTCACTGCATCACGACCTCAATCTTGGCTGTGTCGACCAATATATTGTCTTCGTTGACAAGGTGGCCCAAGAACTGCACCTCACGCAACCAAAACTCATATTTGAAGAACTTGGCATAAAGCCTATCCATCCTTAAAGTCTCCAGAACCTCCTGCAAGTGCTCCTTATGTTGTTCATTGGTCTTTGAATAGACCAAGATATCATCAATAAACACAATCACAGATCGGTCCAGCATCGACATGTACACCCCGTTCATGAGATCCATGAACATTTTCGGTGCGTTGGTGAGCCCAAATGACATCACCTTAAACTCGTAATGACCGTATCGAGTCCTAAAGGTCGTCTTCTACACATCCTCATCCCTGACCCTTATCTGATGATAACCCGATCTCAAATCAATCTTGGAGAACCAAGATGCACCTTGAAGCTGGTCAAACAAATCGTCAATCCTCGGAGGTGGGTAACAGTTCTTAACCTTTAACTTGTTCAACTCTCGGTAATCAATACACATACGATGCGACCCATCCTTCCTCTTCACAAATAAAATCGATGCTCCCCCCGGCGAACTGTTATGCCTGATAAACCCCTTATCCAACAGCTCTTGCACTTGTACAGTCAACTCCTACATCTTCGAAGGTGCCAAGTGGTACGACGCATTGGCTATTGGGGCTGCACCCAGAACCAAATCAATCTGAAACTCCACCTGCCTCTCAGGAGGCACTCCCGACAAATCCTCAGGAAACACATATGGGAACTCACGAACAATAGGTACACCATCTATAGTTTTCTTCTATGTGACTCGAGTATCCATAACATATACCAAAAATCCAGAGCATCCATGCTGAAGATACCTCCTAGCCATCGCAGCTGAACAAATAAGTCGTCCCCACCGAGTTCCTTTACCATGTATAACCAATTCTCCTTCACTTGGGGTTCGAACTCTCACCAGTTGGTGCTCACAATCAATGATAGCTTCATTATGACTCAACCAATCCATGCCCACAATGATTTTCGTCCCTCGCAGAGGAATAAGGACCAGATCTATCAGATACCTCTCTCGGAATAACTCAAAAACGCAACCACAATGAACTCTCAGAGAACTCACGGTACGATCATCAACAATCTCCACTTCCAATGGGTAATCCAAAGCTCCCGGAGCGTCACCAAACTTCTTGCTAAGCACAAGAGACACAAAAGATCGGGTAGCCCCCGAATCGAAAAGAACATGAGCAGACACCCCATTGACTAATAACATCCCTAAATATATGTAGATAAAACATAAGGATAAATAATTAAAGCAGGATAAATATGAGATAGATACCTACTAGTGAAAACATCTGGTGTTGTTTGGGCCTCCTCGGCCTTCAACTGAAAAGTCCAGCTCCTCGCCACAGGAGCCTCCGCCTTGCCCTGGCGGCCATCGGTGATCCTCAACGTGGTTGGAGCGGGTGTCGTCACCGCTCCTCCTGATAACCTCGGACAGTCAGCCTTCTTGTAGTCCTTCTGATACTAATTACAGTTTACCCTTTTCATCAACAACATATCGATCTATGTTGTCTTAAACTATTAGATTCCAAGCTATGCGGATAAATGTTGACGGTTTATACCCATTCATTTTTCATTGATACACTACAATCGACAATGGTGCCACTTGCAAATGAGTCCTCGTCTCTATATCTATCTAGCTTGGGCGAATGTTAATTGGGTATGTATATTTCCAACATCATAAAGCTTATAAAATAAATTAAAATTTTACATCATTGTCCATGTATATTTTTTCCATCCACATTTATAACACTAATTGGTTAACTGTCGTATGTGGACTAAAGAATAAGACTTTTACATTATCTGTATAAGTCCTTGATTTGGTGAAGGAGTTAAAATCTTGTGAGGCTAATATTGTTATGTTCTTAACGTCAATAGATTATTTATGACAGAGTGAACAGTCTATCTTGAGTATGAAGTTTAGTGTTCATTTTGTTAATGGTATACCATGGCAGAAAAATGACAGAGATTGTGGGCGTTTTTTATTTTTTTTATTTGAAATGGTTAGAGTATTTGAGTATCAAATATTTAAAATTTGAAGAAGACATTGTACAGATCTTTTTATGTTAAATATTGAAATAGATATTAGAATGATTAACAAATAACTAAATAAATAAATGTTTTTATTTCATATAGTTCCACAAATTGTAATGGATAGAGTGGTTTTTTGGTCATCAATAAATCATTGACTAATTTTAATTTTTCTTTTTAAGATAATTGGAACTCTTGGAAAAGTCGAGAAACATCCATATTTGAAATGAGATATCTATTTTTTACAACCTTTATTACTTTTTTTCATATGACTATTGGTTTCTTTTCTTGGATCTCTTCTGTGATACGATCTCTATGTGCATTAACTTCTTTTATTCTTTAAGTCCCACTCCGTGGAATTCTTCACAGCTCAACGTTGATTCCAACATATAATCAGACATCATTAGTGGAAACGGTCGACAACGATAAAAGTCCTTATGAATTAAGGTTGACATCGAGGAGTGGCTTGATCATTCTTCACAACAATCATCACAAGTGTTTGTATTAGAGGATTTTGCACCTCTTTTACCTTTCGGCCTTCTTGAATAACCAACACTTTTTATCAAAAAAGAAAATGAATAAAACTTCCTTAGTAGAAAGAGATGGAAAATTTGTGATGAGTTTGTTAAATCTATGGATTAATGTATAGAACTCTAGTTCCCAAAAATATGTTTATTTTGTATGTAGTTCACAAGATACATAAATAGTAGTTTAGTAGATTTGGAAAGTACTTTGCGACAATAATGAATCTTGCAAGCAATTCGCAAATTACCCTTTGTCAAAATAGGTTATTTCATCCTTAACAGGACTACATTTACAGGAAGAAAATCTAATTATGAGGTGAAACATGTATCCAACATTTGATTATTTAATTAAATATTTCAAATAAAAACAATTTTTTGGTTATAAAGTCCTCAAACAAAGCTCGAATTATACAGAGAATACTTAATGTAGCCTAATTATTAATTTCTTTTTAAAAAATATTCAAAGATTTAAGGAGTTATCAAACTATTGTAGATGATTTAAGTAGAGAGACTTGTACACCCAATTAATCCTAAAACCACTACCTATTAAAACAAATAAAAGGGACTAAAAAGACAAACAAATAAAAGAGAATAAAATAGTTTAGAGACTAAAAGATCAATTTTAAAAGGAGGATACGTCATTTGTGTCATTTCCTATTTAAACTCTCTAAAAAACCAACATTTTTTCCTATTTAGACGGTGTTTGGTTTAACTTTTAAAATGACTTTTGACTTTTATCTTTTAGAAAAAGTGAAAAAGATGTTTGGTAAAGTGAAAGACTTTTGTAAATAACTTTCCCAATAGAGTAAATTGAGTCTTTTTGAAAAGTCACGATTACGTGACTTTTCCAACTTTTCAACAGCTAAAAATATTAAATTACCAATATACCCCCATCTACCCTAATCAATTCTTCAATTCACAAGCATACGATCCCTCAATACTCTCTCGTTCTCTCCGCTCACCCACTTTCTTCTCTCTCACATCTCATTCGATCGTTCCCGCAACACCGGCGACCTGCAACACCGGCGACTTGCAACACTGCAACACCGGCGTCTTCTTTCTCCATCTCCGATCAGGTAAGTTTTGTTTTCTTTTCCAGTCGATTTCCGATCTCCGATTTTACAATATCTTCCTGTCGATTTCCGATTTTTAGTAGCAAAGAAATGTAGTTTTCGAATTTTCGTTGAACTGTTCTTCTCTCTCGCATCTGAAATAGTGATTATTCTGTGATTTGTTCCTCCTGATTTATGAAATTGATATGCTGTGATATTCTGTGATTAACATACCTTTGTGAAATTGATGAAATATTGATTAATAATTAGTGAACTTGATGAAATATGGATTAATAATTAGTGAAATTGATGAAATATGAAGCTGATGAAATGTTTTGTTCAGGGATGATATTTGTGTTAACAGGTAACCGATTTGTGAAATTGATATTCAGTGATATTCTATTTTTTCTGTTTTGATTAGAATTTTGATAAATTAATGAAATCATTTAGGAAGGTTAATGAAATTGGTTTGTTGTTTAAATGTTGATACTATATGTAATTCACAGATAATGGATGAAAACAATACTACAATTGTTGATTGTGAAACGTCTTTAAAAATGAAAAAACCAAAATTTGGGTGGGATAATCGTAGCTTCATGGTGTTTGTTGATTCGTGCTTGATTGAACAAAAAAAAGGCCATAAACCCGGTACCTCCTTTGATAAAGTTGGGTCGGAAAATATACAAAAACGCATTAAGGAGAAAACAAGTTACAGCCTTGAAAAAAAATACTAACAAACAAATGGGAGAACATGAAAAAAGAGTGGAAGCTTTATGACCGCTAAATGAGGCTTGAAACCGGACTCGGTGGGACGAGAAGCCTAGTAGATGCGTCGCCTGAGTGGTGGGAGGAGAAAATAAAGGTATGATTACTATTCTTTTTAATTATTTTAAGTTATGATTGCATACAGATTGAACATATTTGATTTACAATATCTTTTTGTCTTGCAGGAGAATAAAGATTATGCCAAATTTAGGAACACAGATTTGAGCATATTTGATGAGAAATATGCTACTTTGTTTCGGGATTCTGTTGCCATTAGAGATCAAACTATGACTTCATTACAATTTCAAAACAATAGCAATCCAAACGAAGAAAATATGGAGGGCAAAGGAGATAGTGATGAAATCAATTTAGATGATGATGAGCCTCTTTTTCCTAGTCTCCATGAAAGTAGTTCAAGTAAAAGGAAGAGGTCTAAGTCTGTTTCCAACAACCGTCCAACCAAGAGTAAAAGTTCAATTTATGAAGAAAAAGTTGATGCTTTATTGGATGCCATATCATCAAAAAGCACACAAACTTATCCACAAAATAATCCTTCCCCAACAATAGCAGATTGCACCTCTTTTACCTTTCGGCCTTCTTGAATAACCAACACATTTTATCAAAAAAGAAAATGAATAAAACTTCCTTAGTAGAAAGAGATGGAAAATTTGTGATGAGTTTGTTAAATCTATGGATTAATGTATAGAACTCTAGTTCCCAAAAATATGTTTATTTTGTATGTAGTTCACAAGATACATAAATAGTAGTTTAGTAGATTTGGAAAGTACTTTGCGACAATAATGAATCTTGCAAGCAATTCGCAAATTACCCTTTGTCAAAATAGGTTATTTCATCCTTAACAAGACTACATTTACGGGAAGAAAATCTAATTATGAGGTGAAACATGGATCCAACATTTGATTATTTAATTAAATATTTCAAATAAAAACACTTTTTTGGTTATAAAGTCCTCAAACAAAGCTCGAATTATACAGAGAATACTTAATGTAGCCTAATTATTATTTTCTTTTTAAAAAATATTCAAAGATTTAAGGAGATATCAAACTATGAAAATCACAGTGGAGAATACTGGAGATGATTTTTTTCTATGGGTCGCGATAAAATGTTAATGGGCTACAAATGGCTTATTGGGCTTTATGTTTTGTATTAATTATGCAAGAATTGCAAAAAATGATGGGAGGCTTCCGATTTTATTGAAGATAAACTGCTAATATGTTAAGAGAGGGCTTATTGGGCTATAATTTGTATTAACCATGCAAATATCGCAAATCGCAAGAAATGGTGGGAAGGCTTTAAACTTATGACCCCTGAGAATAAGGATGCACATGATCACTAAACTAATAATATTTTTTTGTTATTGATATAGCAGCCCAAAAAACGGAAATCACATAGTTTTCATGGCTATTTTAATAATCTTAAAAAAATGGTTATTTAAAAAAAATGAGGTTTTTTTAAAAACTGGTTATTTAAAAAAGTAAGGTGTTTTTTAGAATTTGAGGCCAATTAACTCGAAGGTATAAAAGTTCTTGAGTTTGACATAAATATTTGTTTTTATCTTTTTGCATATTTCTGATTTATTAAAGTTGGAGGTTTATAACTTTTTTTTTTATTTTACTCTTTTGTAGGTTTAGCAGATAAAATCCAACATTTCTATCAAATTTAAGGTTTTAATGAACCGTAAAAAAAATTATAAATTTCTATCAAATTTAAATGCTTTAATAAACCGAAATACACGAAAAGAAAAATTTACAAAACTTTTGACATTAATAAACCATTAAAAAAAACGAACATTTCCAAAGTTAACGAGTTTCACATTAGGGGAAATGACATAAATGCCTATGAACTTTCTAGGGTTGTTCATTTTAGTTCTTAAACTGTTTTTGTGGTTTTATGAAGAAATAAAGTCGTTTTGTCGGTTCATTTTACAACGGTAAAAAACGGACTTTACGCGGGCAGAACTTCGACTGAAAAGAGGTTAGCTTCTCGAGAATTCCGGGGCTTCGGGGCTTGCTTCGGGTTTTAGATATGATACCGGGGCCTTGGGGGTTGTAAGTAGGCTTGTGGGGGTAAAAAATGTGAAGAAATGTGAAAATTTGGGTGAAATGTGTGAAAACTCCGAGAGATCTCGCACCCTTTATATAGGGTTGCGAGGGTTCGGCCGAAGAGAAGAGTCAGCAGGACACTCGTCTTGCAGGCGAAGAGTGCACGTGTCCGAGCTCGGAAGAAGCCACCGCGAAGCCACATGTCGGAACCGGAGTGGACCACGCTTCGGATGCGAAGAGGACGCAACACGCGTCGGATTTCGCTTGGACCTCGCCTTCGGTCGAATCAGAAGACGACACGGGGCGGACACGAGGAAGCCTCGCATGCGAGGTGACGTGGCCGAAGGGTGACCATGCGATTTTTCCCGGTTTTCAACATTTTTCGATTTTTGTGCCCAAAACTTGCAAAATTCATAACTTTCGCATACGAGCTCCGTTTTCGACGTTCTTTATATGCACGCTTAGGTAAAATTATACTCTACGACTTTCGTTTAGACTTCGTCGGCTAAGTTTGAATTTATTTTTAATATTATTATTTTTAACAGACCGGGACAGGAAATACGTTAAAAATTCATAACTTCTTCATCCGACGTCCGTTTTCGTCTGTCTTTTTACCGTTGTAATACTTTTGACGAGACCTTCGATTCTCGTTTAAGTTGTGTCGGCTAAATATCGATCGATTTTTATTTCGAATTTTTAGCTGTCTACTGCTAAACCGAAACTTAGAAAAATCATAACTTCCTCATACGAAGTCAGATTTTTACGTTCTTTTTATGAAAGTTCTCGGTTTAACATATTCTACAACTTTCATTTAGATTGTTAAGGCTAAAAAACCTTTTATCGAATATTCATATTTTACACTGAACAGTGTTTTGCCGGTTTTGTCGCGGATCTTCGATTGGTCATAACTTCTTCGTTATAACTCGGATTTCAGTATTCTTTATATTTTTGGAAACCTTGTTACAATATCTACCACTTAGTTCATCCCAATTATGATTATTGATCAATTTATTTTTTACCTAAATTTGACTGGTGTTACATTATCCCCCCCCCCCCCCAGTTAGAGGGAATTTCGTCCCGGAATTAAGTCTAAAGTGATACTCATGGACTAGGGGAAATATGTGGATATTTTCATTTCATCTAAACTTCCCTTTCCCAAGTGAATTCAGGTCCCCGGTTTGCAATCCAGCGAACCTTCACTATCGGGATAAGACTTTGCTTGGTTCTTTTGATTTCCTTATCCATGATTTCTATTGGTTCTTCTACAAAATGTAGACTTTTATTTAACTTGATTTCATCGAATGAAATAACAAGTGTTTCATCGGATAGACACCTCTTTAGATTAGATATGTGAAAGGTGGGATGAATGTTTTTAAGTTTTTGTGGTAGTTTAAGTTTATAAGCTATAAGACCGATTCTGGTAAGAATCTCGAATGGTCCTATGTACCTTGGATTTAGTATTCCACGCTTTCTGAAGCGTATCCTACCCTTCCGGGGTGAGACCTTCATCTGACAAGGTCACCAACCTGGAATTCCAAGGGTTTTCTTTTATCGAAGTCGTAGCTTCTCTGATTAACTCTGGAAGCTTTTATGTCGCTTCCTGATTCGTATTTTCTTTTCGGTATTTTCTCGGATGAATTCCGGACCAACGAAGGTGATGTGTGGAAATTTGACCTCTAGCTAGTTGGGTGTCACCAACTTTAGTCCAGTACAGATAGGATCTGTACTTGCGACCACAGAAGGTTTCGAATGGAGCAACTTTAAATGCTAGCATGATAAAGGACCCGACTAATTGGTAAATGGGTATCCCATGCTTTACCAAAGTCGATCACATAGGCTCATGACTACTCTAGTTCCCAGAGATTTTTGAAGTGACTGCCTGAACTGGGAGATGATTCTATTATCTCAGCGGAGATAACAGATATTGGAACACCGTGCACTCACACGTTCTAGTTACCTTCTCTATTTGCCTATTTCCTCAAAACTATAGGAAGTGCGCGGACTTGGCTAATCTGTCGACGATCACCCAAAATGGCATCAAGTCCCACCTGTTGCCTTGGTAACTTGATTATAAAGCCCATTGTAATCTGCTACCACTTCCACTCAGGTATCCCCGGTTGTTGTAATAAGCCTGCGGCTTTTGCTTCGATAAGACTCATACTTGGCTCATCTATCATCACCTCGTGTATACGAGTCGTATATAATTTAGATTTCACAAAACATTCGGATGGGTGACTATGCCCCAGGTCCACAACCAAACAAGGAACAGGAGATAGGGCGGAATTACACATCCTAAATCTTATTAAGTCTAAATTATATACCACTTTCATGTATACACTTAGCAGCGATAGATTAACCTAATGAGTTCTTAGTCTCTATTCTTGAACTTGACCTGCGGTACAATGATTTTCCTATGAGATCTACTAGGGTACTTCGGTGGATACTGACTTCTAAGACTACTTTGGTGCTTTTCGTTTGAAGTTTCATGTCTACTCAGTAGGCTAGAAGGGTGTGGTACCCTTCGCATGGGTACTTCTAAAGCTTTGAAATGAGAGACAACCTAAGGGTTTGCGTTATGGATTGGAAGAATTTCATCTTACGGCTGATTAAGGAAAAAGTTCTCTTACACAGCATAAGAATTTTTACATGGTAAGGGCCAGGCCAAACCATGTCGAATGAGGATGTCAGAATTTTCTCGACGAAATAGATATTAAGTCGTTCTGGGGGAAATTATTACTTAGGATAATGAACTATCCTATGTACCTAAGTTTTCAGCGCTTCCGGTTTTATTTTGTTATTACTGTTACGAATCCCCTTTTTTATTCGAAATTGGCGGGTACTACCAATACGAGGGTTCTGATAATTTGAAATTATGAACTTCCATGAAATGATCCTTACTAGGTCCCTCTATAATCGCTTGGTGTATACAAGTCATGTATAATTAAGATTGGTAAGACCTTTGACTGAGCAACCCTACCTTAAATCCACAACCAAACAAGGAACAGGAAATGAGGCGGGATTACTCACTCTAAGTCTACAAATCTTAATTATAAATGACCCTTATGTATACACTAAGTCATTATAGCTTACCTGTTAGGGTTTCAAATTTTATATAAATGTTGTGATTTAATTTGAACGGGAGAGTAATCATAATTATAGATAATTATCGGGGTTTGGAAGCGTACCAAAATATAGCAGGGTTCTTTGATGCCTTACCATGCATTGGGGTCAAACTCCTCCCGCTCCCCCATCGTTCTTCTCTGTTGGACAGTCCCTCTTGTAATGTCCTATTTCACCACAAAGGTGACATATTGGAATGGTTCCAACATTGGTAGTTGAAGTGATGAACTCAACCGGGGTTCTACAGATGCGGGCGGTATGCCCTTTCATGTTTCATCTATTTCAATGCAGCTCTCGACAAACTCCATGATGATGGTAGTTGCACTTTGTGCAGTGTGGGAGGTTTCCTAGGTACGGCGTGGTCGGTACTAGAATAACAGGGTTGATGGGGGTATTGACTGCCCCAGTTCGTTGCCCTC